CATTGTTAATCCCAGCCACAGTCAATCCATTGAATTAATGAAAGTGGTAAATCAACATTTATACAATTTGCACTGATTCAGTGGATCCACTCTAGATGGTTTACAAATCAAGAAAACTAGGTAATATTAATGTTATGTTATGTTATTAAATTAGTTTTTAAAAACTAGCTTCTATTGCCTCTGTAAAGAAAGGACATATAACTTTTTTCAAACAATCTCATTTTATCATGAACCTCCAGCATAAATCAGCCACTATTTGAATGTCAACATAAAGAACTACATCAAAAGTTTCCAGCAAATATATTTAGCATCTTTGAACTCAACTTGATGAACATGTTTCAGAACAAACTCTTAAGAGAACTGCTCTTCATTATAACATGTATTTTCCTGTATCAGCGATGTATAATACCTTATAAAACATTGTGAAGTATCCACTGAGTTCACAATGACTCCTCCAGAGAAGATGTCTACCCCCACTGAGTTTAATAAGACTTATTTCCAGCAAAGCATGTATAGGATTGCAAAAACAGTGTATTTATAAAATTATCTACTATGTGTATGAGGTGAGTACAGATGTTTATGTTGAAATGACTGGTAGTAAAAACACTGAACTGAAAAATGAATATTTATAGAATATTGCACTGTCATTAAAGAGAATAGAGAATACAAAATGTGAAAATTAAACTTTAAATTATAATCAATTTAAATAAAACTTATCTCATCACTACACTATAAAAGCAAAAAGCAAAGAAATTCTAGAAAAAATATTTTCCAACCAAAATCTAGAAGCGAGTGCCTGAAGCAAACATACACATGAATATATTGTTGTTTTAAAGCAGTGGTTACCAACCTCTGGACCACGGTCCACTGGTGGGCCACGAGACCTAAAATAAAGTCTGTGGCTCTAGATCAGTGGTTCTCAGCCTGGGGTCCTCAGATGTTTTTGGCCTTCAACTCCCAGAAATTCTAACAGTAGGTAAACTGGCTGGGATTTCTGGGAGTTGTAGGCCAAAACACCTGGGGACCCACAGGTTGAGAACCACTGCTCTAGATTATTAAATATGGTTTTCAGTGAGCGAGCAGATGGCAACTACTGGGTGGTATATGTTCTGTATCAGAAACTAGATCTGATGTGGCCTATTCAAGGCGGTTTTCTGAATCAGCACCCCAAATTACCAAACCAAATCTGAAGTTGACCAAAAACTGAATCAGAACCCTTTTGGTACTAATGCTGGAGAATGGCCCCTGGTCAAAGTGGTCCCTGGTCAAGTAGTCCCTGGCCAAGTGGTCCATGGTCAAAAAAAGGTTGGGAACCACTGTTTCAAAGCAATCTACAATCAGACCACAATACAGTAAATCAATCAAGCTAACAGTACAGTGCACTGAATGTTTGCCGTTTGTATGGTGTGCTCTGCCCTGAGTCACCTCCGTGGTGAGAAGGGCAGAATATAAATGCTTTAAATAATTAATTAATTAATAATAAAATTTTAATTTCAAGCATATCTAAGTGTTTTTTCACAACTTCACATTAAAAATATTTAGCCTAATAAGTCTTGATAGCTGAGAGGTGAGTAATCCAATTGTACATTCACTCAACAGTTTTGCTGAACTGAACAGAACCTCCTCCTAAATAGCCATGCTAAGGATTACAGTCCTAGGTACTAGTTAACAGAGATTTTTATATATACAGTTCATGGAGATGAGCCAAATTAACAGAGGCTTCCAGGTGCCTTCTGCACTATTACTGTGGAATGGTCACGCAACCTTTTTGATCATTCATATTATGTTGTAAAAGACAATGTTATTATTTAGTGACCATGATAAATTGTGGATCAATCCATAGTAAATCTGTATCCACCAATGCACATTTTAAGTGAAAGCACTACTGGTTCAGTTATATACACAAGGCACTTATTAATCTATTTCTATAGTGATTTACAAGTGCTATCATTTTCACAAGTGCTATCATTGTATTTCTTTAGAGGTGAATTTTGGCATTTCAAAGACCAAATACCACCTGCTTAACAATGTGTAACTTATTCAACCCTATTCAAATGTTGATACAGCTCTCCTGATATCCTCTTCTCACAACATTGTTTGCTGGCATCTCATAAAATAAGGACTTTTATTGCCCTCCCCCTTAACCTATCAAAATATAACAGGTTACTTCTCAAAATCACTGTTAACATGATCCATGGTGCTTCCCAACTCCCCACCCCCACCCCTTAACTAAAGTGAACCAGGGAGCTGGATTGTACTGGTTATCTCACATGCCAAACAATGCTGTAAAAAGAAACTGAACTGTCTCTTACTGGGATCGTACGCAATTCTCTTTACCTGTGAACACCACTTCTCATCATGGGGGAGATAATAAGGATGAGGAGGGTGAGATGTGCTTCCTTTTCAAAAGCTGTACAGTTTTAACAATAGTCTAGTTCGCATTCTATGTGGCAATCTATAGTTAATAGCCTGGAAATTCATGCCAACTTCGCAACTTCAAAGTTTGACTGTCTGTACCAAAAAGTGCCCTATTTTCATGGTTCTTTAGGGCATGAACAAGGTTAAGTATGGCAGAATTGTTTCCAAAGCTACGTTGGCTTTTTAAAGTTAATAAAATAAGTCTGCTAATTTAATTAGAGAACATTAGTAGCACAAAGCAAGGAAAATCCACAAATTATCCTGCTGATAGTAATGGCTGACAATATCAGGGCATACAAGACTGTCATTTATGATGCAGCAAATATTGCTTACAATAATCAAAGTTTTTCATTTTAGGAGGCTGGCAGTTTGAAAGCTCAATTGATCAAAAATTGTACCTGGACGTACTCAAATTAACACAGAGGTTAACATTGCCACAGTAGCTTTTTAAACAGCAAACGGTGTACCCCTTTTCTCTTTTCTTCGACCTGCTCAAACATCCCAAACAGGAGCAAGGCATGCTGTAAGCAATGTATTCTGTCAAAGACCTCACCTATACTGTTTCAAACTGGTATTGAAGGAAGTGCAGATTGCACTACGGAACAAAATTTGAAAAATATTTTGTTCCTGGTTTGAAAGCGTTATTTCCTGTTTAATTGTGCAGTCCTCACTTTGAAAGTAGTTGTTGCACTCCAGAAACTTCATTTTTGTGGTTGTCACAAACTATGTTGAACTGGGGATGACTCTATGAGATACTCATTGAAATGTGCTGCAGGATGTTCTGCAAAAACTTTGTTTTTGAAGTTTAATTCACTTTTTCCATGTTTTTATGATAGAACCAGGAGCCCCCGGTGGCACAGTGGGTTAAATGGCTAAGCTGCAGAACTTGCTGACCATAAGGTCGGTGGCTTGAATCCGGAGAATGGGGTAAGCTCCAGTTTCTGCCAACCTAGCAGTTTGAGAACATGCAAATGTGAGTAGATCAATAGATACTGCTTTGGTGGGAAGGTAAGAGTGCTTTGTGCAGTCATGCTGGCCACATGAACGTGGAGGCGTCTATGGACAACACTGGCTCTTGGACTTAGAAATGGAGATGAGCACCACTTCCCCTAGCTAGACTTAATGTCAAGAGGAAACCTTTACCTTTACTATAATAGAACCAATTAGAAAATGACATTTATACAAAAATGTGTAACACTGTGTCATTACAATGGAGATCATGGGATGGATCTACACAGTTTGAACTGCATGATACGGTCAGCACCTTTAATGCAGTTTGAACGGCAGTGAGTTGCATTATGTGACTAGATGACCTAGTTCAAACTGCATTAGATCTAGCCAGGGGACCAGTTTGGGGCTCGGATGGTGATGAAACAAACCACAGAGCTGGGTTGCTGTGAGTTTTCTGGGCAGTATAGCCATGTTCCAGAAGGATTCGGCCATATCTAAGGCAGGCATCCTCAGAGATTGACCCCTCACATATCCCTAGAAATACTTATGTCATTCAGACTGTATGGCCAAGTCGTTCAGACTTAAATACTTAATAGCAGGAAAGAGCCAAGCTTTGAAGCCGCAAGGCCATTCAATGCCAATCAAGGTGGCCAATTGCAACATTCACACCGGCCTCAAAGGAGCCCCCAGTGGCGCAGTAGGTTAAACCCTTGTGCTGGCTGGACTGATGACCAACAGGATGCAGATTCGAATCCGGGCACAGCGTGGATGAGCTCCCTCTGTCAGCTCCTGCTCCCCATGCGGGAACATGCGAGAAGCCTCCCACAAAGGATGGTAAAACATCAAAAACATCCTGGCATCCCCTAGGCAACGTCCTTGAAGATGGCCAATTGAGAAGCAACTTGCAGTTTCTCAAGTTGCTCCTGACATGAAACAGGCAAGAGTTCTTTCTCCCACTCTGGACATTCCACAGATATATAAACCTCACTTGCCTGTTTTCTAACTGATCAGTTTGGGGCTCAAATGGTGATGAAACAAACCACAGAACTGGGTTGCTGTGAGTTTTCCGGGCTGTATGGCCATGTTCCAGAAGCATTATCTCCTGACCTTTCACCCACATCTATGGCAGGCATCCTGAGAGGTTGTGAGGTCTGTTGGAAACTAGGCAAATGAGGTTTATAGTTCTGTGGAATGTCCAGGGTGGGAGAAAGAACTCTTGTGTGCTATTCAGTGCTAATCAAGGTGGCCAACTGCAACATTTACACTTGCCTCAAAGAGACCAGAGTTCTTTCTCCCACCCTGGACATTCCACAGATATATAAACCTCACTTGCCAAGTTTCCAGCACATCTCACAACCTCTGAGGATGCCTGCCATAGATGTGGGCGAAAGGTTCGGAGAGAATGCTTCTAGAACATGGTCATATAGCCCGAAACACCTACAACAACCCTTACAGCCCAGAAAACTCACAGCAACCCAGTGATTCTGGCCATGAAAGCCTTCGACAACACAAACCACAGAGCTCTGATGTGCACGATGAGGAGCTTGCTTGCTTTCGCGCGCTTTCGAAGGAGTTTGAACTGTAGAGATCGGTAGATGGGGCCCGAGAAAGGTGTCCTGTTGGGGACTTACCTGCTCCTTGGAGATGCAAGGCAGCGAGGGTCTGCGGTGTATTTTGCAGCTGCCGAAGTAACCGCCGGAGGTGGTCTCGCCGAGGGAGACGCAGCTGGATCTCCTCCTGCTTCCGCCGCCGCTGGTCCGGATGACGGGCACCTTCTCCTCGGCGGCGGCGGCGGCGGCGGGGGGGGGCCAGGAGGGCTGGTGTGTCTGTGCGGGGGGCGAGCCGGAGGGGTTCGCCGGGAGGAAGGGTCCGCCCCTCCGCCGCCGCGCGCCCTTGCCTTGGAGGAGCAGGGCGAGGGAGGTGCCGGCCAGGCCGGCGGCGGCGGCGAGCAGGGGCCGGAGGGCGGGCGGGAGCGAGCGGAGTGAGGCGAGGGCGAGGAGCCAAGCGAGGGCGGCGAAGAGCAGCACGAGGAGGCTGCGCCGGAGCCGGAGCCCGCGCTGGAGGAGGGCCAGCCCGGCCACGGCGCCCAGCGAGGCCAGCAGGCGCCCGGGCACGGCCCGCAGCTCCGCCTCGCCCTCGGGGCACCAGCGCAGCGCCGCCGCCGCCGCCTCGCCCGCGAAGCAGCACAGCGGCAGCGCCAGCAGCCACCGCCCGGCCTCGTCGCGGGACAAGTAGCCCGTGAGGAAGAAGAAGGCGCAGGCCAGGCTGAAGAGCGGGCTCAGGCACTGGCCCAGGCCCAGCAGGCGCAGCGTTAGCGGGGGGCCGGCCTCCCCCGCCCACAGGAGCAGCACCACCAGCAGCGCCAGCGCCGAGCCCAGCAGTGCCCCCAGCAGCGCCCGCCACCACCAGGACGGCGCGCCCGCGAGGCTTCTCCGGGGAGGGCCCGCCGCGCAGCCCTTCACGAAGCCGTTCCTCGGAAGTTTGTGGGAAGGCGCGCCTTCCCCTTCCTCCTTCTCTCCCTTCATGGCGCGGCCCACTCGCTCGCCCGTCAGCTGCTTCGCCTCCCGCCCGGCGCTCGCCTCATCTTTTCGAAGCAGGAGGAGGAGGATCCCGAAGGGACCGAGCGGCAGCACAGCTCCCCTCCGCTCTGAAGGAGCTTACAAAGAGGCGGCAGCAGCAGCTGCAGAAGAAAGTCCGGACTCGGAGCATGGTGGGTAAAAGGGGGAGGGAGGGAAGGGGAGAGAAAAAAGGTGGGGGGAAAAAAGTATCTCTTTCCTTCTCTCTCTCTCACTCACTCCCGCGCGCGCTGAGAGGGAGGGCTCGCGCGCTCCTCCCCAAAGCTCGCGCAGGGGAGTTCGCTTCGCTCGCGCTCCTTCGCTCGAACGCTCACAAAGCAAGCGAGCGCGCCAGAGGGATGGAAGCTAATCTCCCCGCTGAACTTTCAAGCTCCCCTCTACGTGACGTCACTGGGGCAAGGGGAGCTGCCTAACTGACAGTTGGGTTCTAACGGTCGCCCACGAGGAGAGAGGGAGGCCCGTAGCCAGGATTTGGGGGGGGGGGGGGGGGAGTTTGAGTCTAGGGGGGATGAGGATCTACCCTAGCAAACCTTTTGTATTGTTATCTCAATATATATGGGATAAATTGTACATGGTGATCAGATCATGATATGAATTAACATAACACTTTAAATAATGTACCAGCTACTCATTGGAGGGAAGGATAGTAGAGGCAAAGATGAAGTACTTTGGCCACATCATGAGAAAACAGGAAAGCTTAGAGAAGACAATTATGCTGGGGAAAATGGAAGGAAAAAGGAAGAGGGGCCGACCAAGGGCAAGATGGATGGATGGCATCCTTGAAGTGACTGGCTTGACCTTGAAGGAGCTGGGGGTGGTGACTACCGACAGGGAGCTCTGGCGTGGGCTGGTCCATGACGTCACAAAGAGTCGGAAACGACAGAATGAATGAGCAACAACAAAGGCCTTCTCGTAGACCACCCTGTGAACTCCCCCGCTACATGCTCAGGGAGGGAAGGAAGGGGTGGTGCGAGCGATCAAGAGAGAGGGGGGGGGGGCTCTGCATGGTTCTGCTAAACTCAGGTGGCCCACCAAGGTCCCTGAGGGCGAGTCTCGCCTTGCTCACGTTATTGTCCAAGGCTTTCATGGCTGGAATCACTGGGTTGTTGGGTTTTTCGGGCTGTTTGGCCAATGCTTCTAGAACATAGCCATACAGCCCGAAAAACCTACAACAGCCCCTTCCTCACGTTGTTCTAGGACAGGAGCACCTGGATTTCAGAGGGACCTGCTGGCCTTCACATTAGCATTGGGAACCTTTTAGTTTAGGAAACTAAAAGCCCAGTGGAAGTGTGATGAGAACAGCAGTGTAGATGCTCCAACAGAAAACTAGCAATACGTGATACCACGTGTCCAGAGGTCTAGGGAAGCACCAAATATGACAAGAAGAAAAGATATGAATAGCTGCACATTCATTGCTGAAGTGCACTTGTGTGCTAGCCTGACAAGTTGAATCAGGAAGTGTACTGTATTGCTGGCACACATATCCAGGATGTCATTGACAGCTCACCAAAACCCATCAATAACACAGATCAGTGTTGCTTTCTCCTTATTCATGTGGGTACAGTAACATGGACAAGAACACCTTCGAGCTGATCACCTCCTACTATAAAGCTTTGGATAGGAAGCTGAAGGAGTCTGGGGCACAGGTGGTATTTTCATCAATTCTGTCAGTCAAGGATAAAGGACTGACACAGGGACAGAAAGATGTTTTAATTTTATGTGACTTGTTTTATACTTTTGTACTGTTTTTATCGGTTGTATGTTATATGTGCACCCTGGAGTGCTCTGTAAGCTGCCCTTCGGGAAGATGGTGGCAGGATATAAATAAAGTTGTTGTTGCTGTTATTATTATTATTATTATTATTATTATACTAAAAGTAAACAATTACCTACATAGATGATGTAGGTGGGAGAGGTTTTACTCTTGGGACCATGATCTTCATTTCTTAGAGGACTGCTAGATACAGAAGGGCTGCATCTCATGAAGCTTGGTAAGTCTGATCCAAGAGGGTTTTAGATTTGGAGATGATAATTGAAAAATTAGTCCAAAGACAATATCAACTAAGCACAAAGGTGTGAATTCTAGAGAAGTTGAAGGAGAGACTGGGATTCACAAAAACAAACAAATTAACAAAAACCCTAGCAGTAAACTAATAGGTGAGAATAAACAAATTTTAAATGTCTATATGTCAATTCAAAGCGTTTAAGACAAACAAGATGAGCCTGAAAACTTAGTGTAGGAAGGTAAATGTGACTTTACAGGCATAACAGGGACCTGATGGAATGAGTCCTATGATTAGAATATCATGTACAATTGAAAGATATAACCTATTCAAAACAACTGATGTGACAGAAAAGACAAATTCATCCATAGATAAACTATTTATTTATTTATTTATTTCAGATATTTGTACCCCGTCCTTCTCAAGCCCCGTCCCCCAGGGACTCAGGGCAGCTTCCAGCCAGCAGTGATTTGATGCCTCCATGTACACACAGTAAACACATAATACAACCAGTAATTACAAACAATTAAAACACTAAATCAATTCCATTAAAATATGCTTAAATATAACAACTTTGTGGCCTTATTTAGCTGATTTCTGAGGTTGAAGACTCCATCAGGCTTGTCCATAGTCCGTTACCATAACAATTGTCATCACTATCATTGTCATTGTTAGCATTATTACCTTAAGGTCTGGTCCCACCTCCACGTTTTAAACTTCTTTCTGAAGCTGAGGAGTGTTGACAACAACCTAATATTTCCGGGAGCCTGTGGTGGTTCCACAGGCAAGGGACCACCACCAAGAAGGGCCCGTCCCTCGTCCTCACCAAGCACATTTGTGACAGAGGCTGGGCTGAGAGCAGGGCCTCCCCAGAAGATCTTAAACTCCAAGGTGGGATGCAGAAGGAGAAACGTTCAGACAGGTATGCTGGTGTTGGGGTTCAGCCTGTGTGTGAACCTGAACCTGATTCTCTGATTGTATTTCCTGATGCCCATGTAGATGTCAATGTGAATTCTGAGGCCAATTTAGATGATGATGGTTTGAGTAGTGAAAATCCTTCAGCCTTGGAAAGCGAAAGTCAAGATTCCCATGAGAACATGTATTCCAAGCCGAGAGGAGACGGTTCACTCCCTTTTCCTCCCAGTCTTAGTTCTCCAGAGAATCAGACACCTGGCCTGTCTAATGAGGATAGGAGGGGGTAGATTTGGCAGAGTCGGGGAGAAGCACAAAGTTTACGTAGGTCAGCTAGATTGAAAGAAATCCAAGCAAAACCTGCGGGAGTGTCTCACAATAGATTTCTCGGCCTTAAATATGCCTGGCCTGAATATAGCTTCAGACCAGGCATCGTTCCAGTTTCATGTGCCAGTGTTTGCAGGTCTCCTGATTCCAGTAGCCTTGTTCCTCTGAGGTTTTCTAGTTGTCTCAAGTACGGTTAGTGGATTGCTAACAGGTTCCAGGATTCAGCAGTTTTGCTGTGGGTTTTATGATCTTGTTTATGGACATTTCTTGTTGCTGATTTTTACTGTGACTTTTTACCTTTGCATTTTTCCTCTATTTTGTATTCATCTTTCATCAATAAAAAAGGATTGTTTTCCTGAAGCCAAGTGTGGTGGATTGTTGTCTGAGGTTCCAGTTTCCTGCTCTGGGTTGCAACAGCTGCGCCGGAACCATATAGGGTTTATAGATCAAGACCAGCACTTTGAATTGTGCTCAGAACGGGACCGGCAGTCAGTGCAGCTGACATAACAGGGTGTGGTATGCTCCCTGTTTGATGCTCCAATGAGTAGTCTAGCTGCCACCCGTTGGACTAGTTTGAGTTTCGGAACAATCTTCAAAGGCAACCCCATGTAGAGTGCATTGCAGTAATCTATTTGGGATGTAACAAGAGCATGGACCAGATCAGACAGGCGCAGCTGGCGCACAAGTTTTAATTGTGCAAAAGCTCTCCCGGCCACCGCCGAGACCTGGAGTTCCAGGCTCAGCTGTGAGTACAAGATCACTCCCAAGCTGTGAACCTGTGTCTTCAGAGGGAGTGTTACTCCATCTAACACAGGCTGTAACCCTATGCCCTGTTCAGCCTTATGGCTGACCAGTACAACCTCTGTCTTGTCTGGATTCAATTTCAATTTGTTAGCTCTCATCCAGTTCAACACAGCTGCCAAGCACCAATTCAAAGTCCGGACAGCCTCCTTGGTAACAAGTGGGAAGGAGTGACAGATTTGGACATCATCTGCATAGAGATAACACCTCATTCTGAATCTCCCCCAGCGGCTTCATGTAGATGTTAAATAACATCGGGGACAGTATTAAACCCTGTGGGACTCTAAAAAACAATGGCTGTGGGATCGAACAGGCGTCACCTGTCTAATGGGGTCTATTAGAATAATCAGAATGGATCATTTGAATATGGTAACACCCCTCCCCCTTATCCTCAGGCTTCATAGCCATAGTTTTATTCTTGCTCCAAAAACATTAATCTTCAGAAGTGTCTGTGGGCCTCTGTAGGTCCTCCAGTGCTATTCTATGGTATGCTTCTGGCCCAAGTATAATAAAAAAATAGGGTTTAATATTATCCACAGCCTCAGAAATCCACAGGGGCTCTTGGACCATATCCCTCATGGATAATCAAGTTGTAGTGTAAAAATAAAAGGTGGGATAAATACATCTGTTGAAGGGATTTACTATAGGCCACCAAATCAAGAAGAAGGGGTAGATGATGCTTTTCAGAAACTAATATAAATCTCAACGATACAAAAATTAGTAGTTATAACTTCTAAGAGACTAAATGCTAAGCATGGGTTTCCCAACAAATTTCTAATGTACCTTGCAAATAAAATCTTATTTTAAAGGGTAGAGGCAGGAGCATGGGGATTAGCAATCCTGGATTAATTAATTAATTATTTTCCTATATTTATACCCCACCCTTTTCACCCCCGAGGGGGGACTCAGGGCAGCCTCACAAACACCATATAGTGTCATCATAATAAAACAATCAACAATACATTAAAATATTAAAAATATTAAAAAAAATAATTAAAACAATTGATTAACACACACAGAATCTAAAATCCAGTCTGAGTCAAATCATTGCC